CCCAGGGCTGCATGGCCTGTTCGTGGTGTCCTGGATCTGCCCCGGTGGTGATGAGAATACAGGCGTCACGCAGAAGACGGCTCCAAACCCACCGGGCTCTGATGCGGGGTGAGGCTGACCACCGAGAAGAGCTCATTTTTCCCCAGAAAGACATTTGGGGAAGTTGCTGCTGGTGGCCAGAAATAAGCAGTTTAGAAGTCTGAGGCCTGGACAGAGCTGCCGGCCTCACCAAAAGGCATAGCGGGAACGCAGAAAGGTGGCTACGATCTTCCTATGATGCACACAGCAGCGCTTCTGTGTATACCCAAGGATGGAGAAGTGGAATAATGGCACTGTTCTGCACAAGGAATTGCTTAAGGAAAGGCAGCAAAACCGGTGCAGTGCTCCGCCTGCGATGCCAGGAAGAAGAAAAGGAGCTGCAGTAGATGTAACGAGCAAAAGGAGACCTTCCTGTCCCCCATCCCAGCAGCAGAGTCCTAGAGCGCGTGGCACGGGCTGCACCAGCCGTTGTCACACTGATGGTGTCCCTCTGCAATGCCGTGTTAATGATGACAAACTGGGGATTGCATCTTCTACCCATGCAGTTTTGTTGCCTTTCTGAAACCCAACATAGGCAGAGAGATCCCTGGGGAAGAAAAAATCCCTGATGGATCCTTCCAAATGCCTGGTGGTCTCTGCTCGCTGACAGGGAGCGTTAACGTTTTGGCGTAGGCTCAGCCACCAGCTGCCTAAGGAAGCAGGGGCAAGTGATGTGAGTTCCTTGGCCAAGACAATTAGCCAGCTTGCCAAAGAAGCCAATCTTGGCTGAAGAAGTGCTCTTCACAGCATTGGGCTGTTGCCATGGTGGATGGGACTCTGTCCCATCCCCAAACTACACAGGACACAGGCAACCAGCGATGGTCTGGATGCTGGGTCTGACCATCTTGTACCCTTCTGCTTTGCCTCCTGCAGCGTGCTCAGCACCCAGCGGCTCCCAGAGCACCTGGAAGCGCAGGGGAGTTTGGCTGTTACTGAGAGTGCATTTAGGGCACCTTGGCCGCACTGCTTCCCACATCCTTCCTAGGAAAGTGAGCAGTGTTGGCGCTTAGACCAAAACCTTTCCCAGCCCGCAGCCACGAAAGCCCCTCGCAGAAGGGAAGCGAAGCAGAACTGACTTGGGTGGTTGCCGTCGCACGTTGCTTCCCGTGGCACAGCTGGACCTGTCCTGCTTGGGAAATCACCCAGCGGGAGCAAGGGCAGTGCCCAGGAGCCTGCATCTGTAATTGCTGGTAGGATGGGCTGCAGAAGCACCAACAGCAGCTGGAAGACACCTGCAAGCACTGAGGTCTCATCTGGCTGGAGGCAGGGGAGGATCAGGTGCAGGAGGGAAGGAAGCTGAGTGCTTGCAGAAGCGTTGCGAGCTACGCCCTGGATTTGGCAACAGCTAGAGGAAGCAGCCATGGGGCAGGGAAACAGTTCGGTCAAGAACTGGCTGGTGAGTCACTGGACAAATTTACCCCCGCTTTGCGCTTCCCCTTCAGTGAGGGGAGCTTCGCACGAGTGCTGGAGGAATGCTGAGAGCTTCCCCCCGGGAGGGTGATGCAGCCCCGCGACAGCACAGACAGGTAGGGAGAGCTCCCTCCTCAGAGCTTTTTGATACGTGGCCAGAAAAAGCTGTGGCTGATTGGGGCTAGTGCCAGCAACAGACCTGCTGGAAGCAGGAAGCTGGACGGGAGACCTCCAAAGACTCCTTGCACCACCCTGTCTGGGCACTCGGACAGAGCTGGGTCAGCACATTCCTAGGATCCTTTAGTCTTTGCTGCTTTTTTGCAATCTGTTGATAAGACTGTCCTATCAGCCGGACAGCAAAGGAATACTTGGTGCTGACAGGGATGCCTACAGACCCTCAGAAATTATTTTCCACTGTCCCCGTGGAGGCTGGTAATGAATCAAATCGCTGGGTGAGAAAAAGGAAAATAGGAAGCCCTCTGTCGCAACTGCCTGCCGTGAATCACAGCGCATTGCATGCAGAGAAACAAACAGAGCTGTGGCTCTCCCATCCTGCGGTCAGACTGATATATTTGGCTTTGCTGCTGTAACTTGGTATTTCTAGTTTCTCCTGTGGGATTTCCTGGTGGCTTAGGGATGGGAGTTTCTGCAGCAGGGCAGCCCAGGCAGGAAAGTGGAGACCCTCAGGAGGAGCCAGCTGAGACCCTGCTCTTGGGGTGGGGTGAGACCAGTGGCACCAACTGGCTGCTGAGGGGAGGGTGGCACAGCTGTAGCTCTTGGGTGTTCCACTGGTGATTTGAGCTTTGCCCTGGGTCATGGCTGAGTAGCCAGGCGGGTGCTGATGGGGCGCGCTGGGCCCAGGTGAAGGGCACTTGGGCAGGAGTGATGAGGGCAGCGCTGTGTCCCTCTCCGGGCTGAACCTGCCCGAGCTAGCCCTCCCGTCAGTTGGATCCGAACGGTTCCCTCAGCTGCCCCAAAAGTGCTGCCTTTCACCGCTGCTCTCCCCGTTTCCAGGTTGTGGCTGTTCTCCTCCTTCTGGGGCTGTTGGAGGCAGAAGGCAAATGTTTCCTCAATCGCACTCAGGAGCACTGTGTGTGCTACAGCCTGTCCCAGGAAAGCCTCAGCAGCATCATCCAGTGCCTCCCAGCCTCCGTCGTGGAGTTCTGGGGGGGACAGCTGGAGAGATACACAGCCTTCACCATCAGTGACCCGGGCCCCTCCGCCATTAAAATGTTGGGCTCCCTTATGATCAGGAAAATAGTTTTTGGTGATCTCCTGGTGCCTGAGATACTCCTCGCCCAAGTCCTGAGGTTTTTCTCCTACACCCAGGTGCAGGAGCTGGTGTTTGAGAGCTGCGTTTTCAAGGGGAGAGGCAACTGGGCTGAAATGGCTGGCCAGGACTTGCCCATCTTGTCCCTGCACTTCCACAACGTGACATCCGCCCCGCTGACGGGCCGCGAGCAGGACTTCTCTAGCCTGAGCAGCTGGCTGGGGACGCTGCAGGAGCTGGCTGTCACGGGTTCCCATGTCACCAGCCTACCCTGTGGCCTCGGAAGGGTGTTCAGAGATCTGCACTCTCTGGACATGGCACAGAACAGCCTTGGGGATGAGAGCTTGGTGCCTGCCTTTTGTCAGGGGGCTTTCCCTCAGCTCCACGTCCTGAGTCTGCAGCGCAACAACCTGACATCCTACCACGGCGTGTGTGAGAGCCTGCAGCTGCTGCTTGAGCTCCAGCATCTAGACCTCAGCCAGAACAAGCTCGTGGCAGCCCTCCCCTCCTCCTGCCAGTGGCCAGTGTCCCTCCGAATTCTTAACTTGTCCGACACTGGCTTGGATGAAGTCCTCACTCCCCTGCCTCCCAGTCTAGAAGTGTTGGACGTGAGCTGCAACCACCTCCGTGCTGTAGACATCTCCCTCAGCTCCCTGAAGCAGCTCTTCCTGAGCCAAAACATGCTGCAGGCTGCCCCCTCCATCGGGAATTACCCCATGTTGGAGACTCTCCACCTGGACAACAACTCCATCCCAGACCTGCCATGGGATGAGATGAAGCTCCTGGGGCACCTGCAGGATGTGTCTGCAGCCGGCAACCCCTACAACTGCTCCTGCTCCGGGGCCAG